CACCGTTCTTTCCAGCGGTGGCTAGCTTTGTTCCTGCCTTGCCCAGGAGCCCACGTTCCACTTGTGTCAAGCTAGTTTTGGTATCCTGCCTCTGCTGTCTCTTGCTTTCTGATGCTGTAGTGGTACTAATAAATAACTTCACTTTCAAATATAAGATTTTAGGGAAATGTGCCTTTAAGTTAACTTCCCGAGGATGTATTGGTGTACAGACCGACACGGGCTGTCCTGCTGTGACAGCCTGCTTGGTCTGGCAGTCGGTTTCTGCGCGGGGGGTTGACGCCTTGAAGCTGCCCCGGTGTGTGGTTGGCCTCTTCTGGTTGCTCACCTGGGTACTCCACAGCCCTTACGTATCTAATCCACCACGTGGGAAATAGTGAGTGGCAGTAAATGCCCTTATATGAAAGATCTCTTGTAATTCCTCTGAGTGTCTGGGATTTGGTGCTTTGTTTTGAGTGGGTGAAAAAATGCTTTCCTGTTTTTCTTCACGTGGAAAGCTCTTGACCCAGCCACTGTCTGCCGCCCGCCCCTGGACAAAAGGAGAGGGAGCCTCGTTCTGCTGTCTGTACTGGGCGTGGACTGGCCAGCAGCAGCTGAGCCGTGTTTCCCCTGGGGGGGTGTGGGTCGTGCCGTCCCGAGCCCGGGGGTGGTGCCGCTGCAGCGGCGCTGGGAGGGTCTGGGAGCCTGGCTGCAGGTGTCCCTGGCAGCTTGGACCCTGCCCTGCTCCCAGCGGGGCTCCCCGTGGCACTTCTCATAGCTGCACACTCCTTTTGGGAGAATTGTGACAGCTACTTTCCCCACAAGCAATGAGAACTTGAGCTGTGATACTGGAATAAAAGAAATCTAGAACTTCTGTGCAGAAAAATAGGATGAGATTGGGTAGTCCTGGTGGGGAAGGTAAAACTGTGTGTGTGGACAAACTTACAGGAGGACTGAGGTAAATGTGGCAAAAGAAATCACTTTGACTTTGGTTTAGGCACTGTGGTTTTTTCCTCTCCAATTCAGTTCATTTTAAAGTTATCAGCCTGGGAGATGTTCTTTCCCTGCCTCCTGTCCTGCGGGGCTTCCGAACAGATGGAGAAAGTGATGTGGATGTTAAAAAAAAACCAACCCAACAATCAAACCTCAAATTTCATACCTCAGATCTGGAGTGGATGTATTTTTCATGCCAGTTGAGTGTTGTAAAAGTGTTCATGTAAAACCATTTTATATTTTGGACATCTTGCTTGTTTATTTAGAGACTAACTCCTGCAGGTCACTGTTAGGGGTGTGTTGGTTGTTGGCATTTTGCAATCGACAGGAGCAGTTTCTGGTGATAGGCTGAATTTCACCAGCTTTCTTTTTCTCGGTCTCTTGCATGTTATAAACAGAAAAGCCCATCCTGCACTCCTGCAGATGAATGTTTAGGAAATATCACAACTTCATTAAAGAGTTTTCAAGCTCTCAAGTTCGTTTTGAAAGTTTCAGTGTGTTTCATTTTTTTTAGGCTTTATGTAACGGCGACTCTTTAAGGAGCAAGTGGAAGTCCAGGTGGGGCCTGGGGGTGCTGTTAGCTGGGCAGAGTGCTCTCTGTCGGGCTGTTGTGCTGCGGGGCTTTGCGGGGCGGGTGAGTGCCGGGGGGAGGCGGAGCTCTGGGCACGGCGTCGGGGCAGGGGATAAACTGCCAGCTCTGGACCCGTCTTCTGGGGGATCCGACACTGGTGGGGACACGGACGCACCGCTCGGGCCGGGGGCCAGCGAGAGGTGCTGTTGTCTGCTGTTGGAAAGCTGGGGCTCCATGCGCAGGGGGGTGATGTAGGAGTTGTCAGGAGTGTTCAAGCAGCACTTGCTGGTGTCTGGCCCAGGGCCTGCAGTGAAGTGCTTGGTCCTGTTATGCGATGTTGCAATGAGCGTTTCCGCTTGTTAAAATATTGCATAGATTTGAACGCTCCTCACCAGCGGCCTGAAGGAATAGATAGGACAACAATGGGTGCATCGAAAAGCCTGAAGTTAAGATGTTTTAGTGGAAAATGAGTTTTAGTTCTTAGTTTATAGTTAAACCATGAGAACTTATCAGCCAGCTCATTAGGCTCCCTGCCTCCCGGTCCCGCCGGAAGGCTCCGGCAGAGCGCTGTGCTGCCTGTTCCTGCCAGCCCCCGTGTCCCTCACACTGAGACTTATCTGCAGTGAAGTTTGCGTCAAGCAGACCCAGTTGGCTTCTAGTCTGCAAAGCTGTTAAGTTTAATCTTGTTCCAGTTTAATCTGATGTCATGGATTGGAATTATATGCATGGCCGTTTCTCTTTTTTGCGAAGAGTTGGATTTGGAGCGAAAGCAAAATGGCTCGAGGACGCAAGAGCAATAGCATCAAACAGAGTGACTTCACTAACAGCACCAATCCTCAGGATTTAGAAAGAAGACTTTTTGTCGGCAATTTGCCCACAGACCACATGACTCGTGAAGAAATGGAAGAGATATTTTCAAAATATGGCAAAATCAGGGGTTAGTATCTTATCTTATGCCTTTTTTTGGCTGGGAATTTGGTGACAAATGTAACTTTGGTGCTTGTCAAATGCTATTTGATTACAATGAGAGGAATGACTAATGTTGTTCCTAAAAGTGACCTTTTAATGATAATTTTCCCCAAAAATGGGATTCCTTCAGCATAGCTGAGACGTAATGTGCATATGTGAGCTATGCTCTGGCTTTTGGGATTGCACAGTGATGTTACAATGCTCTCTCAAGTGACTTCATAGTCTCTGAATCAAATCTGGGTCACTTCCTGGGCTGCATTTTGGTCGCTTCCTTATCAGGAGGGAGCTGATCTACAGAATCCATTTCAGAGTCCCTAAGCTCTGCATGTCCATCCTGGCAGGTGTGGCCTCTCCCAGGAAGCTGGTTTCTGGGCAGAACCCCTTTGCTGCTTCGCCAGCGGGGCCAGGAGCAGCCGGGGGCGGGGGGGTGCTGTCCCGTGGTTGTAACCGGTCTCGCCCTGCTGTTGCCTTTTCCAGCCCTCAGCATGTACCATGGCTATGGGTTCGTGCAGTATGACCGGCTGGAGGACGTCCAGGCTGCTCTGGACGGGGAGAAGGGCCGCCTTTATAAAGGGTATAGATTAGGTAAGGAAACGTGCTCCGTGCTCTCCCACTGACCCAGCATGCGCTCCCGTGCAGAGAGCTGCTCTTAGAGCTCTCTGGAAAGATCACTGTGTGAAACGTGCCTGGTGTTAGCCTAAAATCACTCGCTGGGTAGGTGTCGGCCTTTGGAATCACCTGCTCTCAGTGCTGTGTGGTTCCTCTGCTGTCCAGGTCTGTCTCTGAACTTGGGTTATGTGTATTTGAAAGAAACCGCTCGACGTGCAGGCCCTGGAACACGGTCACTGAAACCTCACGCGTGTTTCAGAACCATTTGTAAACCTATTCTGGGCTTTGTCTTGACAGGTTTAGAGGAACTGGTCACAGCGTGTTGTGACCTGATAGATAATTAATCCTAACTGGGAGTTCTTGCACATCTGAAGTCAATCCGTGCCTAGTGCTAGAAACAGGAGGTGCTTTGTAAAGGTCATTTTCATAAAGATGAAAATAATTCTGCTAAACATGCTGGGAGCAAACTTAAACAGAAATGAACGATTAGAAATCTCAGAGATATTATGAAATGCAGTCAAAAAAACAAACCTTTGAAGTAAGCCTGTGCTAATTTGAAGAAAAACAGTGTGACTTAGGAAGGAATGAAAGGAGCAGTAAGTAGTAACTTATGGGAAGGTATGTGTGCAGTAAGAGACTTGAGCCTGACCATGGAAATGGAGGCAAGTAGGTAGGAGGGTAGGAAGGCAAGAAGTTGTGGGCAGTGTTGAAGTCTAGAAGCTTAAACAGGAACAGCCATGGCTGGCTTAAATGGCTGGAAATGATGACATTTGGAACTGGAAAGGACACCTACTCTTCAGTTAACATTTCTGCTGTTTTTGAAGAGGCAGAAGATGTTTTTAATATCATTTCGATTTCAGTAATAAAATAAACCAGCAGCTACTAAAACTAGAGCACTAAAAATAAAAAAGCTATGTAAGTCTATAGTTCATGTTTCTATCATCTCATATCTACCAGGTACAGTGAAATGGAGACCTGCCTAGGCTATTACTGTTGGGTTTCTGTAGGCCTTGGAAAACTGGGGGGTTTCCAGGGAACAGCAGAGTGCTGAGGATGTGAGGCGGGAATGGGATGAGCCTGGCTAGACCCCTGGTGATGAAGGGACTCACTCCCCTGACAGTGAGAAGGGATTTAATTAAAGTCAATTAAAATAAGTCCTGTCTAACTTGTGATGTCTCAAGCTTTATGGCTGAAAGTAGCAGTGTTGTTGTACAAGGCTTTTGCAGGATGTTTGATTTGATTAAGAACCTAGAACAATTAAAAACATCGGGTCAAACAGATTTCAAATGCCTCCAGTGTAACATGGATGCAATTGCCCAGTGCTTTGAGTGGCGTTCTGGAAAAACTGATTCCTGGCTGTACAGTGCTTTCCTAAGTGACTTGGAAGGAAAACACACGCTTACGTTTTTGAAAAGAGAGTGAGATAAAGAAGATTGGGTCACTGGTGGTGGAATGGCCTGGACTTCTTCCTCAGCAGGGTGCAGCATTGCTGAGCTTTCAGTAAGCCAGGAGAGCACTGGTCACCCTCAGCGGCACCAGCCGCAGACCTGTCAGAGAGGGCTGGTAGCTGGGGGGTTTGCTGCTGGAGTGCTCTCTTCAGTTCTGGTCTGCCCAGTTCAAAAAGGATCATGCTGAACTGGAGAACCCTCAGGGAAAAACTGAAGAAATCTTAAAAGAGCTGAAGAGCAAGCCCTAGCAAAAGCCTGAGGATAACGGAGTGATGGGAGCTGTGTCAGGCAGACCTGGAGAGAATAAGTTTTAATCTAGTAGGTGTAGGTATGGCGAGTCCCAAGTGGAAATAAACAGTTTTCCTTAACAGCAAAGTAATTTACTTCTGGAATAACTTCTTGGAGCTTGGTGGCATCTGTGCACTGAAGATGTTTAAATTGGAATTGGGTGTTTTGCTAAAAGATAAGCTCTAGCTCAATGCCACTGCTGCACTGGAGATAGGAATATGACTCAAGACACTCTTGTTGCCTCCGTTTGTTCAGAAGGTCCCACTGTGTGGCTGCAGTGGCCCTGGCAGCTCAAAATCCTACAGGACAGAAGACTTATTTTTCTTGGAAATTTTGTCAGTGTTCAAATACTTAACGTGTAAATGCTGTTGGCATTAAGTGTCATTAAGTCTGTTCATTTTGCACAAGAGAAAGAAAAATATTTTTGTTCAGATTTAAATACTTTTATTTGAAAGAAATGTGTGGTATTGAGTGTAAAAAAAAAAATAGGTTTTTGCAATGGCATCTTAAAAAAAAAATAAAAAATCTTAAACCAAAGAAAGCAGATAGTGTCTTGCTTAAAGATAACACTTGACTTGAAGGGGAAAAATGTTTGCAGCTAAAGAATAAATGGGAAGAGAACAGTTACTTCAGTTATGCAGTCTGAGTGTTAAATCTAATTGCTAATTAGAAGGTAAAGGGCTTTGAGGGAGTTTTGCTCCACTGTTGCATTACACTAACACTGCCACCGGCGCAGCCAGGGGTTTGTATCTGTGATGAGAGAGCTGCAGGGAGAAGATGCCCCTGGGGCAGAGCTGGTGCCAGTGGGCAGGGCAGCTCTCCTTCGCCCTGCAGGGGCTGTGGGGTGGTCCCGCCAGCGCCGTGTCCTGTGTTTGTAGGTCATCTTCACACTGCACTTGTTCCATCCCCTTCCTCATCGTCATCCCACATGCACAAGAGAGAACATGCTGCTGCTCAACTGATGAGCAAAAATTAGAACTAATCCCTTAATTCTCATTTAAATCCTAAAGTAGTAAAGGGTAGTTAGGGAAGTTACAGCAGATGTTAAGACTGAGTCTGCCTGAAGACACTGGTGTGTTTCTTCCCTTGCAGGAGCTTTGAAAGTCATTAATACAAATAACTAACAAATTTGAATTGTTGATGGATTCTCAGGGAGCAGACTGGACCAAGGTTTGTTTTGTTTTCCTTCAAAGGCTGTCAGAGTAAAACACCTGAAGTAGTTTCTGTGTGTTCTTGACCCCTCCCGTACATTTCCTCTTCCACCCACTGTTACAAAGGCTTTCTCTCTTCATGGTAGACCAGTGTGGGTCCCAGCCAGTTCTTGCTCTTCCTGGTTGAGGGCAAGATGCTATTTCTTCAGCTCTCTTTGTATTTTGCTTCATGGTCTTTTTCATGGAGACGCTCAGGAGCCAGTCAGTTTTCAGATCTCTGATCTGTTGCCTCAGCTTGCATCACGTTAACAGTGCTGCTTTGAATGCACCGTGTTGAATTCCTGAGGAGCTTGTGCCCTGGGCTCCTTGGATCCATTTCCTCTGGGTAGAGGCTGTACAAGTTAATGCTGCAGCAGTCCCCTGGAAGGCAGTTCCATGTGCCACTTGAGAACCCCTGGGTTATTTCCACAGGGGTAGCAGCATGCTCCACTGACCAGGACTGGCTGTGGACGTAAGACTGTGCTGGCCATCAGCTTCCTCTCTTGGAAGTTTTCAGACTCTGCTTTTTCTCCTAGAGTCCATGAGTCGCTTTCTGCTTGCTCATAGACTGCAGAAGAAAGAGATTCTCTTATGGAATGAAGAGTCTGGATGTAGATCTGAACATAAAGGGTTAGAACATCACCTGAGCTGGCCACCCTATTCTGAAGTCAGAGAAATCCGTGAAAAGTTCATTATGTTGTACTATCTAAACTTAATAAAAAATTGTCAAAGTGACAATGTCTCTCTGCTGAATGGATTTTCTTGCACCATCTGGATGTTGTTGAGCTTAAGTTGCTTTCATTTGAATTGTGCTGATGATCTGTTTTTTGTTCCATAGCATTGAACAGATGGGTTGATTATTCTTTACAGATATTAAGAAAGCAGTGGAAAGAAGAAATATGAGTAAGGCTTCATCAAGGTCCAGTCCGGCACGAAGGTAAAGTACCTGGAAGCAGTGAGTTATACTAGGAAGGTCAGGCTTCTGGGGCGTGAGCCCAGCAGCCTGTGCCAAATGTCTGTGTCTCCCCCACCACCACCTCCCCAGTCAAACAGAGATGCTCAAGCGAGAGAGTGGGGACGTGGCCGCTCGCCTGTAGGAGCCCTCCTGGCGCTGGCACCTCGGGAGGCACGAGGAAAACCTCGTGTCTGCAGCCGTTATACAGCTCAGCATTATGTTTTGCAGCACAGGTTGTGAGAGACTTGTGAGAAGAAGGCACTTGATGTGTGCTCTGCCTCAAGTGTCAGAGAAGCTGAGGCGTATCTAGAGAACGCCGAGGGGATGTATCCTTCCCAGTGCCATGCTGCAGAGGACTTCAGGATCTCACCTCTTCTGATGTCAAAAACTTCCAGTGCTGAAATGAGACTGGGATGGAGCAAGCAACTCTGCTGCACCATCCCCTCTGCCTGTGTGCTGAGTGGTCAGGACCTGGAACCCCTCCCCTCTGTGCAGTCAGTGACGCGTGTTGCCAGCTTCTGCTCCCTGCCCCTCGGCAGGCACAGCGCCTGCAGCTCCTGCACTTCCCCTGTGTGACATCACTGGCAAGTGGAGAAGACGTGGGCTGGCCTGGCACAGGGAGATGGCTTCAGCTTCCTCCCCGTAGCGTCACCAGGGAGCGCACGCGGCCGCGCTGCAGCGCCAGCTCGGAATCCAGCGTGCCCCTCCTGTGCCTCCTGTAGAGCCTTCCACACGGAGTGGCCTTGTAGGGCTTGAAGGTAACGGAGCTCTCACGTGCCTGCTGTGCTCTACTAACTTGACCTGTGAAACTACAACAAAAATGATGAAAAAGTGCAACTAGCAAGACATCTACCACCAAGAAAAAACCCAGAATTAATAACTGCAGTTCTTGGCATCATCTGAGTCCTTTGTACGTGCTGTGCTTACCCTGCACGGGGCCAGACACACTTGGAAAGAGATGAGCGTGGGGGCATTTGGCCCAGGAAGTGCTTTCGGCACAGCCAGTGGTTCCTGTTGCAGATGCCTCGGGCCCAGGCGGTGTGAGGCGTGCTCAGAACAGGCACAAGGATCCCCAGGAATCCTGCACGTGCATGAGCAGCGGGCAGCGATGGCACAGCTTTGGCCTCTGTGGCACCACAGGTACTGGGCAGCACTGTGGGTGTGAGGCAGGCACCCATGCCACGAGTGCTGCTCCTCGGAGCATGCTGCAGAGGGATGAGCAGCTGGCACTGGTGCCATGGGCACTGGAACCTGTGTCATCCTGTACGTGTGCAAGAGCAGATGCCTCTGTCACGGGCCCTGAGGAGCACTGGAGGTGCTGTGGGCACTGGGCGGTGAGCTGGACTGCAGCAGTGACTGCCACTGTGGCAGACACGGGCTTCCAGCTGGCACTGCAGACACAGCGGCCATCCCCTGTCGCTGGCAGTAGGTCCTCAGCAGCACTGTGTGCATGGGTGGCAGCGAGGTCAGGGCAGCGAGTCCTGGGCACAGCTGCTGGCGAGGGACCCTGGACCATGCAGGCACGTGTGTAACAGCCACCGATGCTGGGACGCGGCTCCACGCGCCGCCGGCGCTGGGCGGTGGCACCGAGTCCCCAGCAGATATGGGCCAGACCATGGAGGGTGGAAGAAGCAGCGTCCGTGCCCTCGTGCTGCTGCCTCTGGGCAGCAGCAGTGGCACAGAGGGGACCTGTGCCACGTCCGTGCTGCTGCTGGCACAGCTGCACACTGTTTGCTCTGGATCGTTCTGTCTCTGCAGATAATGAACGTGGCCACTTCTGGTCACCCTTGCCCCAGCTGCAATAAATATGTCCCAAACAATTGCACTAAATCTGGCTGTTCCGCTGTGTAGTCCCACAGCTACAGGAAGATCACTCAGTGTCCATTAGAGCAAATCAGGAGTTTCCCCTGAGCTTCTGCTGTCTGTCGCTGTAGGCTGGGGCAAGGGGGTGGTGACGAGTCTCCCGGGGGATGCGCTTTCCATACAGATCACAAACAAGGCAGATTTGTGTGGCCAGCAGGCTCGAGGTCCTCACACTGGTTCGTGTGTAAATGCAGTTTCTTTTCCAGCAGGAGGCTTTATGCTCTGGTGGCAACTGTGTGGTTTGTCCCAAGATCTGTTTTGTATCTGGTATGCAAGTGGAGAGTGTCGGTGCTCCTGTGCATCACCAGCAGAGCTGGGTGCCCAGCGCTGATACCCGTGCACGGGCTCTGCACGTCCCTCTCATTCCTGCCCCCTCTGCCCGACGCTGGACTCGGGCTCATCTGACTCACTGCTCCCACTGTTCTCTCCAGGGACTGCTACATGAACACGCTGTAGTAGGAGCAGACTTGTGTTCTGCTTATCTTTCATAGACTAGGCTAGGCTGGTAGAGGATTCTCAAAGTCTCTAAAGTTTTGGAAATAAAAAGATACAAAAAGCTGGTTCTATTTCCAGTGGTTGTCAGTAGCTTGGGGAAAGAACATTCCAAACACAGGAAGCTCAGTAGTTTCTCTGCAAGGCTTTTTTATCTTTGGCTTAGAATACAGTTGCGTTATGGGTTTTTTTCTGGAAACAAAATACGACCTGGAAGAACCCTACTGTTTTGGGAAAAAGTGAAGACTGGAATGTTAATTCCTCCTTGCCTCTGAAGACAGGCGGTACAAAGTCTGAATGAGCCGGGTCATTCAGGTGTGATGGAGAAGCCTGTCGCTGTGGAAGATGTGGTGCTGGCTGACCTTGGTACCCTCTCAACATCCTACACAGAGGCTGGCTTTCTACAGCAACTACCTTCAAGTGCAGGATATGGCAGCGGCTGTCAATGTTTCTGCTAGCAGCACAAATCCAACGGCAACATGGAACCTACTGTGTCTTAGGTCACCACGAGCTCCTTTTAAATCTTATGCCAATAACAAATTATTTCAAGTGTTCTGCTATCGTTGACTGGTGATCTTATTGGATCCTTTAAGTGCTCCTGACTATTGAATATTTGGGGGTATTAGGCTAGAGCATCTTGAATTCTGTTCAAAGAATTTGGAGAAAACATGTTTGACAGATGTGGCTGACCTTGAGCTGGTGTTTTCTGCAGTGCCTGTTCACTCTTCCACAGGCACTCGACTCTTAGTGATGCTCCAGTAAGGAGCTTTCTGGGTCTTATTTGACTATGATAAACAGTAGAATCAAGAATTTTCTCCAGGCTGTTCCATCAAATGTGTTTTTGGGCAATTCTTGATCTTGTGGGGTAGGAGGGAGGATTCAGCCGCTGAGAGAAGTGTCACTTTGGCGCCCGAGGTAAGAGAGATCTGGGGGTGACTGCGCTGGAGCCGTTGCCGGTCTAACGGCGTTTCCCTGGTGCTTTCCTCAGAGAGCTGTATGCCTACGGGGATGGGCGGGACGCCCGGCGCGACCGCTCCCCTCTGCGGGGGAGCCCACGCAGAGACCCCAGGGATGGCAGGGACGGAAGAAACGGGCGAGATTCCAGAGATGCTCGAGACATGCGAGCTAGAGACACCCGTGACCACAGGGACCCGCGGGACCTGCGAGATCCGCGGGACGTCCGGGATCCACGAGACTTGCGGGATCCTCGTGACGTCAGAGATCTTCGTGACCCCCGGGAGCCGCTCTATGATCGATACAGGGACCCACGGGATATGAGAAATCCACGAGATGTGAGGGACCCGCGGGATATGAGGGATCCCTGGGATATGAGAGACCCTCGGGACCCTTTGTACAGGTAATCTCTGTGGGATTGTATTTGCCAGCTGTTTTTATGGCGTTCGTGCCTCAGTGGCTGCGCTGGCTTGAGTGACGCTGGGCATTTAAGATAAGGAGATTGCTCTGGCTGGGGACAGTTGGTGCCTGCTTTGTGTCCTGTGGGGAGTGGGTGGTGCTTCAGCAAGGAAACTCCAGGAAGGTCTGTGTGATGGCCAGAGCTGCTGCCTGCGGCTGTGCTGGAGATGGACGCCCTTTGCTTCTCTACATGTTGCAGACGAGATGAAGCTTACGACCGGTACCTTCGCCTGGAGGACTACTATCGGCGGAAGGAGGACTCCTACTACGACCGTTACAAGGAGCACTTCGACAGGGCCCCAGTGAATTCAGACGGTGAGTACCTGTCACGTTTTCAGAGGCAGATTCACGTCCTTCCTCTGGGAGGCTGCAGGAGGTGCCTGCAGTACCGAGCGCGTTGCCTTCTGTGGATCTGAGCAGGTCCAAAGGGCGTGATTTGCTCTGTCCCTTGTTTTCAGACCGCCTGAAGCGTGAGGAGCGGCGCCGAGAGGAGCTGTACCGCCAGTACTACGAAGAAATCAAGAGGCGGTTTGATGCGGAGAGACCTGTGGATTGTTCTGTGATAGTAGTGAATAAACAGACAAAGTAAGGAAATAGTTACGACCGATTTTATTATTGTATGGTAGAAGAAAATGGAATTAAACTTAGTCCTCCCTTGAAGCTGTTTAGGTTGCTCTTGAGGAATGAGTGTGGCTTTAGAGGCCTCAGAAATCTACAGCCCCTGGTGTTCTGAGAATATGTGTTGATGGCATGGAGAAACGTTGTAGCTTGTGCTTTTGTTCCTTTCTTGTCACCTATCACTGTACCTTCTCCTGGTAACTTTTCTACCTACTCTTCCTATCAGCTTATGGTCGTGACAGGTTATAGTGGCCTGTCCCTGTTATTCATGGGTTGAATGATGTGGAACTTATTAATGAATATGTGCTGATGAGCAGAGAGTGCAGAGCAGCTGTCATGGTGGAGTTGTGGGGGTGTTTGATTCAGAGCCCCCTTTGGATCAGGTTCTAGGCTAGATACCAGTCATTCCTGTTAATCCAGCGTGCCAGAAATAAACACAGAAATCACTGCTGAAAGTAGTCACGAGCGATGTCAGCCGCGTGTGTGAGCAGTAACCAGGGTGATGTCGTGTGGCAGTCTGAATATCTACTGGGGTAACGGGGCAGGCGCAGTGTTGGGAACGGGGGGGTGCACCTGGTACAGCAGGAGTGGGGCTGTCATGGTGGCACCAGTCTGATGTCTGTATCTGTACAAATAAATATGTTGAAGAATAGCACAGAGGTAAATAAATCATAGATCTGGCTTGGAGTCTGAAGAAAATGTGTGTCAAGGGGAAAGGGAAAGCTGTTTCCTTACCCCTTTGGAAGAAGATCGAGAGTTGTTCTTACTTAAGTTTGCTGTATCTGTGAGGCAGAAGGAGCAAGATGGCTCTTTCCCCATCTGGTGGTAGAAGACCGAGCAGGAAATCAGAACAAGGGAAGCAGTGAACCTAGAAATAGACTTCTGTAGCTTGCTTTTAATGGAGCTGATTACCTATTGGAACAAACCTTGAAAAGAAATCTTAGATTATTTATCCCTTGGTGACTAAAAGTCTTTGGAAGGTATTCTAACAGACTAAAAGTTATTGTGCTTGATACAAGGAGATTTTTTTGTGCAAGAGGATCAGCTTTATATCCTAAGGATCGAGGTGGAGCACGTTGTTACCTCTTGGGTATTGGGGCACCGATGTCATGTACTATAGACCTGTTGAAAGGTGACTCCCAAGTGAATTACATATGCCTGGGTGTAACTTAGAGATCCTTAAACAGACACTTGTCAGGGGGGACACAGTTTTAGTCACAGTGCTTGCATCCAAAGATGACGAATCGTACACACACCTTTTGGAAGAGGTTTGCCATCAGAACTGAGAATGTGCATCTTCTCAGAGTATGCAGTCAGTAATTTGAGCTGAGTGTGTGAGATGTGGCTGTGCTCGGAATGGGAAGGCTGCAGGACAGTGGACAGAGGAGCAGTGGATCTGTGGATGCCCTGTTGGTACTGGGTTAGTGCAGAGAGCAGCTGGTAGACTGAAAGAGCAAGAGCAGGAGGAGTGAGGCACGCTTGAATAGTGAAGATGCTGCACGTAGCCAGGTGAGCACTTCTGTAGGTTGGCTGCTCTGCTGTGTGGCCCTCGGGTCTCTGCAGGCATAAATTACCTCGCTTAATGAGTTCAGTCTAAACACATTTGTACGTAAACAAATTTATAATGTTGTAAATCCCTTTGCAAACACTGCTCTTCAGCTAAGCTAAGGCTTGACTTGTAATTGATTTCAGTTAAACTGAAATGACCGATTCAGGTCAAAATGATCTTTTATACTATCACAATGAGATTGCCTTAATACTGTCCCATTAAACCATGTAAAGTTTGGCAAGCCATCAGAAGAGCGAATCTAAGAGGATGGAGAGGGTGAATGTGGCAGGATTTCTGTTTCTGAATGTGACTGACCTGTTAAACTCTGCTGGCTTTGCTTTGTGGTAGGGAGTACGCAGAGTCGGTGGGGCGGAAGGTGCGGGATCTGGGCATGGTAGTGGACCTCATCTTCCTCAACACAGAGATGTCGCTGACGCAAGCCTTGGACGATGTGAGCAGAGGAGGGTCTCCTTTTGCCATTGTCATCACCCAGCAGCATCAAGTTCACCGCTCTTGCACTGTTAACATCATGTTTGGCACCCCACAAGGTACTGAGGTCTCGGTGGGCTGCATGGTTCGAAGTGCTGCTTGAGAACTCTTCCTTTTAAGAACCACACAGGAGGACAACATTTGTCCTTGCTGTGACATAAGTTGTTATTAGTGACTGACACCCTGTCATAAATGTGAATGTCATTATTTACAAGCCTCCATAATACTTTACTCGTCCTTTGTCAAAAGGACTATCTAATTTCTGCGAAGAGGGAATCTCAGCTGCATTCCTCACATGTAACATCACCAGCCTTTGCATCTGAGGCCACACTAGAAATGACTGCATTGCCTGGGCAGATTTCTGAGTAACACTGTTCCAGCCTCCACTAGTCACCTGTTGATCTCAAAGAGAGCATGTTTAGAATGTGGCACATTACAGGACAGATGTTAAAACCAATTGCAATTTAAGGAAAACAGAATAGTGTATTTGGGAAAGGTAAAGTTCTGATATTGAAACTGGGAAGAGGTATAGTATAAAAAGACAGAACTATAAAGTGATTTGGTATAAGTTCTCCATCTTTTTAGTGCCATTTGCACTTGTTGCATCACTTTACATCTCGGGGTGTGAGCTGGTGGTTGTGAGCACGTGTGTAGGTATGGAAAACAGGTCCTGTCAGGCCGTGATCTCGGAAGGCAGCCCATTGCTCCGACTGTGAGCCTCTCCAGGGGCTTGTTCACACAGGTCTGTCTGACCACGGCTGAGCTTTCAGATGTTAGGTCTCCCTTGTGTCCTCGAGGAACATTTTGTGAGGTTCATCTGTGAGAATCAGCCTCCAAATGCACAGTCGCTGTCTTTTGTGTGCTGACAGACTGAAGAAGCTGGGTTCGTTTAACACTGGATGCAGATGTGATAGGAGGATTCCCTCATTTCCTGCAGAAACACTCTCATGCACAGTTTCATGCAGCTTTCCACTGCCCTTGGTTTAACTCTTAACTCCTTTGGTTTAGTACCTGTCCTCCCACCAAAGCTTCTCTTCTCTTTAGTGGATCTGATGATGTATCAGATCTGATAAGAACCTCAGCTCATCCACAGCTTTCTAGAGATTAAATATGTTTGCTTGAACTGCACGTGGCCACCTTTCCATTCATGTGAGTTTCAGGAAACTCTTCCAAAAGTGTTAAAATGGCATTTGGTTTCCTGTTAGGAGGCAAAGGGTGGCAGGACTTGGTGTTCTGCAGGGGTGAGCAGTGCCCAGAGCTTTGGGAACTTTTGGGAGGTAAAGGTGCTCTTGATCTCCCTGCTTAAATCTGTGTTCAGGGGGATGTTTGCATGTGTGCTTGGTGAGGTGGAAATAATGACTTCAAAAACTTTAAAGGGCACCTGAAAAAAACAAACCAAAACAAAAACAAAACCAGAAAGAGCCACCAGCTGTCAGGGCTGACTGTTGTGCACTGGATCAGCTCGGGGCTCGGTTGCTGTGCGTGGCCCCAGAGCAGTAGCTGTGAGCAGCAACCTGACGCTGAGCCCGCACTTCTCCCCAGCTCCTGCATACACCTGCACTAGGTGAAGGCTCTGGCAGTACAGAACCAAGAAGTATTCCCATCGCTGGCCTCCTCTGGGAGGCCTGAGCAGCCTTTGGAGGCAAGTTTTGGATCTGACCAAGGGTTTAGCAGTAGAATGGCTGGAACTGCCTCCCCTTGGAGTACAGAGCATTTATGTGAGAGGTAGAGGGAGCTGCTTTTCCTGTTAATTGGGTAAGAGGCAAGACAGACATTTGTTGGGCTGATCCTGCATCTTTCAGCCGTGGAGGAGAAGGAGGGCCTTGCTGGGTGATAGCCTCGAGCCATCTGTTGGCTGAGGACCTCAAACTGTTACCGTGTGCCTGGGAAGCTTCCTGCGTTACACTCGTGATCACAAATCGGTGCTGCCCGCCGAGTGAGGGGTGCTGGTGTGCGTGAGGCCAGACGTTTCCTGCCAACGCCCCTTTGCTTTGCTGAAGGTGTTTCTTTCCCTCGTGCAGAACACCGCAACATGCCCCAGGCCGACGCCATGGTGCTGGTGGCCAGGAACTACGAGCGCTACAAGACGGAGTCGCGGGAGAAGGAGCGGGAGGAGATCGCGCGGCAGGCTGCCAAGATGGCAGATGAGGCTGTGCTGCAGGAGCGGGAGCGCCCGCCCCCCGTGGAGGAGGGTGTCAGAGGGGGCCACCCTCCAGGGATTCAGAACCTGCTGGCAGACAATCGCTATCTAACTGCCGAGGAGACTGATAAAGTAATTAATTACTTGAGAGACCGGAAGGAACGGTTACTGAGGGGAAGCGCTGATTCTCTGCAGGGTAAGTTAATCGTGTGCTTTGTGGGTGCTCTGGGCTGGGACAGGAAAGCAGACCTGGGAGTGCAGAGGAGTCCTGGTGGTGTAGCTTCCTCACACAGGCCCTCTCTTTATTGGTGGGCATGTCCTTGGCAGTCCTGAGACAACTTGGGTCTTTCATGTGAAAGAACCATTATACTGGTTTCTCTCGGAACCACAGGACTGCCTTAGCTGGTTTGGGTGCTACATGAGCAGCAACGGTTCTGCTGAGTAGTTTGGATTCATCAGAGCCTGCAGCTCTTCCAGGGGTTGGGTATCCACCCATGCTTCTGTCTTTGGTAGCTGTTTGCCTAGTTTTCTTTAGGTGCCCCTTCAGGGCATTTGCAGAGCATTAACCCTTTTTCCTCTCTTTCCCAGCATCCATGTCAAGACAGTCTTTGGGGGCACCTTCAGGATCATCTCTGGGTAGCCAGTCCAGTCTTCCAAGCTCTCAAGCTCATCAGGGTTCTCAGCCTCTGGTCTCTGCCCCTTCTGTTCCAGTGTCCTCTTCTACTCCTCAGCAGGAGCTTCAAGCAAAGATCCTCAGTCTTTTTAACAGCGGGGACGCAAGCCCCGCTGCAGAGCGGCCCTGCCGCCTCCGCGGGCACGGCGGGCAGCACCCCCAACCAGAACTTTGCTAACATGGCCAGCAGTCAGGCCCGGTCGGCACAGATGAGTGCTGGAAATCTAAACCAGGCTCAGCAGAGGTTGCAGACTCCAAGCACGCAGCTTCCTGCTCTCCAGGGCCCTTCAAGGAATGCAGGTCCAAGACCTGGAGCACCTCCACAAGCTCAGTCGCTTTATGGTCAGCACCAAAATCGCCTCCCTGCGCCCAGCAACGTCCCTGCTCAAAGGCCAGTATCTTCTGGTATCAACTTTGACAACCCCAGTGTACAGAAAGCCTTGGACACCCTCATCCAGAGTGGTCCTGCACTCTCCCACCTCGTGAGCC